ACTACACACGAGCGGCGCGTGACATAGAAAATGGATGAATCCTACTCGCCGCGCGCTCGACGCTCGGGGAATACTTGCGCGGATTGGGGGATCTTTATTAAATTATTTTTCCTAAATTAAATTATTGAAAAATTTTCGCCAAAGTGGTAAAGGACTTACTTATTCAGTTTGACCCGTTCTATCTGTACACGACGGTTGAGCCGCGAACCTTGGGACACCCTGTATATACAGGGTGGCCCCGAACGTTCCGGCGATATTTTGAGATCTTATAGGAAATTTGATTTTGAATCAAAAATTTCCTATAAACATAGGTCGAAAAATGCTTCCTTAAAAAGTTAGCATCCAAAAACCTCTGAAATCACGGTTATTTTATACATTTTTACAAATATTAGGGAAAGTATGCGTTTTTTAACAAATAGTACCGAAACAAAAGTTGTAGAGAATTAAATTTCAAATGAGATGAAAGCGATTGTAGTACGGTCCATAGGTGTCGAGATAGCCAGTTTCAAATGTACAAAAAAGTGTTTATTCGGATATCAACGCGCGTGGTTTAGCGTGTGGAAGGGATGAAATATTCTACGCGCTAGGGGGATAGAGTGAGGATGGCTTTCTCCCGCACACAAGTGACGCGACGTACCATGTATGCGCTCCCTTTCATGCGCTAAACCATTCCTAGACAACATGAGTACGAGTAACGTTTAGCTACGTAGCAATTGCACAGAACCCCGTATAATCTATTCTTGAGAAGCAATTTTTATTGGATTTGCTCAAAAATGCCTAGAATTTTTTCAAACAGAGAATACGCGGATATTCATTACATTTACAGTTTTTGCAATGGAAGCACAGAAGCGGCAGTTCGCGAATATGCTGCCCGTTTTCCCGATCGCCGGCAGCCACATCGCTCTGTTTTCGCTGAAACGCACAGGCGTTTACGGGAAACAGGATTATTTTCCAACTTGTCTGTGGTGCGGAACCCTGTTCGCAACACTAGAACAACAGAAAGAGTTGCAAGGTATTTTGAGACAAACCCAAATACTAGTACTCGTGCTTCTCTGAATTTGGATATTTCCCGGATCACAATTCAAAGGTCGCTTCGTGAATTGGGTATGTACCCATATCATTTTACACCAGTCCAAAATCTTTTTCCTGCCGATTATCAAAGAAGGGAAAGATTTTGTCAATGGTATTTGAATTTAGATATAAATATTTCATTAAAAATCTTGTGGACAGACGAGAGCACCTTTACTAGAACGGGAGTGTTCAATTACCACAATTCTCACTACTGGTGCCACATGAATTCTCATCTTCCTCGGATATCATCTTTTCAGCATCAATTTAAAGTTAATGACAAGTTAATGTCTTCGCTATGACAATTGGCTGCAGTTAGATGGGTGCCCAGCTTATAGTGCTCGTATTGTTAGGAATTTGCTAAATCAGCATTATTCGGAAAAATGGATTGGCCGTTGGGGACCTGTGGAGTGGCCAGCTAAATCTCCAGATTTAACCCCTTTAGATTTTTACTTATGGGGAAGAGTGAAAAATGAAGTTTACTCAACGCCAATCGAGTCTCGTGAACATCTGATCCAACTGATAAACACGGCTTTCGATCGACTAAAATTAAATCGGGAGGAAATCCGTAATGCGACCAGATCAGTCACTACTCGATGCCGAAAGTGTATTAAAGTTGGAGGGGGACATTTTGAGAATAGTTAGTTTTTTCACGTTGTTATTCATTTTCTACTACTACAATGCTATTTTAGTTTAAAAAATTATTTTTTTTTTTTTTTTAAATAATTATTTTTTTAGAAATTTTTTAAGTTTTATTTCCTTTTCATTTTATTTTCTTTTCACCTTTTGCTCTTTCTTTTATCTTTCTATGGTAATTGGTTTAAACAATGCAGAAAAGAAAAATTTTTTTAGTTGAAAAACCAACAAGCAAGATAAGCATTAAAAATTACGAAGCTATATCAGCATAAATAAAGAATATTTTTAAAAAGCTCTACTGTCGATATCTGAATAAACACTTGTTTGTACAATTGAAATTGGTTATTTCGACACCTATGGACCGTACTACAATCGCTTTTATCTCATTTGAAAGATAATTTAATTCTCTACAACTTTTGTTTGGGTGCTTTTTGTTAAAAAACGCATACTTTCCCTAATATTTGTAAAAATGTATAAAATAACCGTGATTTCAGAGGTTTTTGGGCGCTAACTTTTTAAGGAAGCATTTTTCGACCCATGTTTATAGAAAATATTTGATTCAGAATCAAATTTCCTATAAGATCTCAAAATATCGCCGGAACGTTCGGGGCCACCCTGTATATACCAAGGGTGATTCGAAAGGTCAGGTCAACCAACTAGGAGATGAAAGAGGAGTTTGAGTAGAATAAATAATGTAAATAAACTTTTTTGATATTCGCTATAGTTTAGTACAGTTGAAAATCTCATCAACAGAATTGATTGCAGTGTCAAGAAACACAAAATAAAAATTTACTTTAAATCTTTGCGTGGCATTTAGACTAGGCTCATTTTGCTTCGTATGGAAATTGTTTTTCCTTTTTTCTCAAGCGGATTGGTTCAGACATTGATTCAAATACTGCAGGAATATTGAACTCTTCGACAAGTTCTCTTGCTTCTACCAACATCTTCTCAAAACCTAAGTCACTTCTGCAGTTCTCAAGAGATGTTTTTGTTACATATAGCTGCTTTGTAGCGACACGCAAGTTAAACTAAAAAAAGACGTGGCATTCAAACAACATTTGGTAGCATCATTTACAACAAGATTTAGAGAGTGAGAATTGCAGGATACAAAAAAAGTTCGGGGGTTAATATCTAAAATTCTCCGCTGTACACCTTTATTTTTGCCTTTCATATTGTTGCCGTTATCAAACTTTTGTCCACGTAGGTTTGCTATTGGCAGTCCCATCTCTCTTAATTTTTCAAGAATTTGTTTAGTCATACTGATGCCAGTTGTTTCACTAAGAGATACAAATCCCAAAAAATGCTCTTTTATCTCACATTTATTGGCGTTTATCGTATCTACAAATCGAATAATGATTGTCATTTGTTCAACATGACTCACATCAGGAGTGCAATCTAAAATTAAGGCAAAGCATTTAGCAGCGTTAGCATAAGCACAGATTTTTTCTTGCACAACAGCAGATAAAAGACTAATGATTTCATTTTGTATGTCTTTTCCCAGGTAATGTACATGAGTCTTTTTGTCACTAACTTTCCTGAGGTATTCGTGCATAATAGGATCAAACAAAGCCAGGTATTCTACAAATTTAAGAAAATTTCCATTACCAGCAGTGAATAATTGTTCATTTTTTCCGCGAAGTGCAGTGTTTTGTGCTGCAAAAACCCGTATTAAAGCAATCAGTCATTTTTAAATTTGTTGCCAGTATTTTTCCTTTTGCCTAATCAGACGCAAATTGTTTTCGTTAACAGTTTTATTTTTTTCAACCTAAGTTCTAATTCTTTCCATGCTTGGAAACTTGCCAAATGATCGCTGCTTTTTTCATGATTTAATAATGCTAATATTACAGACATATTTTTTCAGTCATTTGAACCCTTATTAAAGCCGATCCTCTATTCGTTGTTGAAAATAGTTTGCAAGAGATGCAGAATACCGAATCTTTTGATACTGAATACTAAAGCCATTGACGATGTACATATTCACCATTAATGAGTCGCCTTTTGTAATGAATTGTCAAATATTTTCTTTGATTATTATTCTTGAGAAAATTAAAGTCTACTTGAACAGGACCATGATTAATAAGGTTTCATCGCAGATGGTCATCACAATTTTCCCACACTCCAGGGTCACTATAGTTCAAAACTTCTAAATCTTGTGTTTGATCCTTCTTGTTCTTCGTTGTCAGCAAACTTCTTCTTACTTTGTGAAACAATAGTAGAAGATTCTGCCTGTTTATTTTCCTCCTGTTTATTTTCTATCAGAATTTTTCCTAAATTATTTTCCGAATTATCTTGTGGTCTACTTTGTTTCTCTGAACGAAAATACTTTAAAAATGAGCCCTCTAGCTTTGATAAGGATTTTTCCCTCTCGACTTTTCGTTTCTAAAATTCAGCTTCAGATATTTTTTTCCTATCGGCCATGTTTTTCTGAAAGATCAACTAAAATATCCTGACCAGTACTTTTACTGTTGTATGTGAAACAGGCAAATATTTCCAAATTCCAAATAAAATAAATGAACAAATATAGACTTTTGCGATATAAAAAAAGGAATATTTAATAGAACTATACTCTGTCTAGCAAGAAAATATATTTCTTTCTGCGCATAGGATAAGCATAGCGGCCAAAGTGGGGAGAGCGTTGGCATTGACAAGCTGCACGAATAGTAGTCATGTGGAGTGGGGGAGGGGGGGGGTTTCTAAGCGTTTCGTGAGGAGAGATCTGCGCGGAAACGGACAAGTTTCTGTACAAGCCAGGTATATTCTCTTGCTAGACGGAGTATATACAAACAACGGTTTTTATTTATTGCGAGAACACATCAAGCATTAATTTTCTCAAGGCTCCATGGCGATAACGATTAGCTAAATGAGAAAAAAAATCGTGGAACCTCTTCCGTTTACAGGCGGCCTTAAGACCGTTCCAAAACATGTTTTGCTCGCGGCAGTGATGCGATTTCGCCCACTGTGGTCCTGGCTCTGCTGCCTTACACAACTTCACAGAAGCGCTATGTCATGTGTCCATGTGCGCTCGGCCGCTTAACCAATGGAAGAGAGCGGACGTCTCCCTTCCACCGAGCCGACGCAACAAACAATAAATGTTAATTGTAAAAAGCAAGTGTTTCTGACTCAGAAATTCTGTGGCGAATGGCTGGAATATTAAAAATCACATGTTCGAGACCTGCTTTATGCAATTTTCTTTTCTTTTTTCCGCATTTGTTTCTAACAGTGTATATTATCAGATAATACTTTTCTGCTCAAAAAATATTTTCTATTTATAAATAATATTCGCATATGTTAAACTAACAATTTTAGAAATAATACAGATTTGCTATTGTCAATAAGAAAATAAAAAATTATTTGAGTGAAGTTCCGAAAAGCCCACACCTCTGATTTGCTTCAAACTATGTTTTTTATTGTATTTTTGCGCGCTGATTACGAACATGATCATGCCGATTGACGACAAGATTATTTTCAAAGTCAAAACTCAAAAAAACTAAAAAATTATCGCTTTTTTAAACATTATTTTGATAAATATTAATGTAACAAAAAAATGTTTCAAATAAAAATTGTAGCTCTTGAAAAAATACATCATTTATATCTTATGCATAATTTGCACAGAACCAATATTTTTCGATAAAATGAGATAATAGGAAAGACACTCCCACTGCACTATGCAGTGGGTTCCTCCCCCCTCCCCCCCCGGAGAGGGGCATCCACGCATACACTGTACAACGCGAAGCGAGGATTCACATGGGTTTGTAATTTTCCATGCAAAGCGAGGTTCCAAACTAAACCTATGTGTATAGTTTTTTGATAGTGGAGCCCCCCGCAGAGGGGCGGAACACAATGCCTCCACGCATACACTTTCCACGCAAAGCGAGGTTCCACATGGGTTTGCAACTTTCCACGCAAAGCGAGGTTTCAACCCAAACCTATGTGTATAGTTTTTTGATGGTAGAGCCCACCACAGGGGGGCAGAACACAAGCCTTCACGCATACACTTTCCACGCAAAACGAGGTTCTACTTGGGTTTGCAACTTTCCATGCAAAGCGAGGTTCCAACCCAATCCTATGTGTATAGTCTTATGATGGTCGAGCCCCCCGTAGGAAGGCGGAACACACTGCATAGTGCGGGAGGAGTGTCTTTCGTATTATCTCATTTTTTTTCGAAAAATAATGGTTCTATGCAAAAAATTCATAAAACATAAATGATGTATTTTTTTTAAAACTACAACTTTTATTTGAAATATTTCTTTGTTACATCAATATTTATCAAGATAATGTTAAAAGAAACAATAATTTTTTATCTTATTTTTTTCGAAAAATATTGGTTCTATGCAAAAAATGCTGCGACGTTTTTCGCCACTACTCCCCCGAGGGAGCCCGGTAGTCCGGGTTTGGAAGGGCGAAACCGACCTGACCACGAGCGACAAAGACGTAGCCGATAGATAAAAACGCCAAGGGCGTCTGATGTTCGAACGCGGATAATAAGAGCTACCGCCGCTACTAGCCGAAATACGCGAGAACACGACACAAAATTTGGCGCCAGACGCAGAAGCGTCAACTCCGCTCCACGGAGAGTCTTTTCAATCGCGAAACCCAAATTCTTATAATACTAAGACTGATTCGGCAGCAACGAGCTCGGCAAGCTTAACCTAACGGTAAAGGAGCAGGGCAGAGAGCAGGATACGCGAAATAACGTTAAGGT